ACATGGATAAAACCTAATAGAACCATATATAAATTATAAAGAATGTATATGTGCTAACAAACATATAATAATATGACTGACCAAGTCCCAGATGTGGAAAACAACAACAATGAAGTGCAACAAAAAATATATCCAATGTTCTCCATTTCATAGCACAATCCATTGGGGGGGGGGGAGGAGGGGAGAGAGAGATAGAGAGGGAGGTAGACCAAAATTGCAATTGGGAGGGTTAAGAATGTATTGCTATAGCATAAAAATTCATTACCTCTGACGTAATTTCCTCTTTCATTCTTCTCCATCCAGTTCTTGTAAACCATCTGTAAGCACCATCTTAAGAATGTGAAGATCATATATACCTATCATCCATATATTCAACAAGTATTTTTGTAATCTCTAACACTCTTACTAAATAATACAGCAATAGTAATATTTCACTACACTAATAGGGCCAAATCTAATAAGTGAATTTGTAATCATTACAAAAGGTTGACAAAGCATCATCACTCTAGAACCTATAAATCACCTTGTCCAGAAAGGCATAGCTTCACGAGGAGCATACGGTTCAAATACGATGCCGGGGCTCATAAGTGAAACTTTGACAGCTGCCTGTTATATAGATGACTGAACATATTAGAACACGGGTGCATACAGTGATTCTGGAAGAGAAAGTGCCTACACTTTGTGGCCATCACTCATGTAGCCCAAATGTCATCTTAGAAATAGAAAGTGGCCTTTTTTTGCCATCACACTCATGCAACCCAAAATGCAATCTAAGAAACGATTGTATATTGCTTTTAACTTGCAATATTTATAATGACCACACTGGCAGTGACAAACAACTAAACAGAAACTTTTTTTTTTGCTAGGGTCTCGTCATGCACTTCAACAAAATTCTGAATGTGCAGTTAAATGCATTCCCCTAAAGAAAGGTGTACAAGACAAAAAAAAACAGAATCTGAAATACAACTCCCTTTAAAACTGATACTCTCAGCTCTTTCATTAAAAAATTTATCATTTGGTGCCCTTTTCCTAAATGGCAACGCACACGGAGAGTACCATAGCAGAAATGGTACTTAAGAATGTATGGCTAAAATGTTAGCAGAAATGATTTGAATTAAACCAATAAATGGGAGAAATATTGGGAATTATTTCCACTGTGTAGTTGATTTCTATGTTCGCCAATCCCCACCTTGCAGGCCATGTAGTGATTGTATCCATGAATTTTTGTTGTTTTACATAGTTCTTAGAAATATATTGGCAACTCCCCAGTCCTCTAACCCCTTAATACTGAAATTATTTATATTCTCTGCTCTTTCAATAGAATCACAGGTTTCTCACATATAGTCCATGTTTTAACAGAGTAACATATTAAGTAGCTGTAGGAACTTTATTAATGACCATCCCACAATTCAAATATTTCACATTGTACCTAGGTTGCACGGGCTCACCAATTCACTACAGTGTGCCGCACCAAAGTCGTCATGGGGACGGGGACTGGCACAGGGGGCGGCTTCTGGCAGTTCCAAAATGTTGTGCAGCGTAAATTTGTATGTCTATTGTGAAGATGTGGAACGAGATAAGAGGGGATGGTTCGGAGTCAGGTTGGCGCTTGACCCGCATCTGTCTTTATTTGTTTTCTTTTTGTTTCTTCTTTACTTATGATGTTGAATAGCACTTAGATTTAGTAGATTTAGAAATTTTAAGATATATAAAGCAACACAAAAATTAATATGCACTCTGCCACTCGATCGACAGAAAGGAAAATATTTTTTTTTCATCCCAGGGTTCAGGCAGTTGTGTTTTGTCTTCATTCTTCAATTTTCAATAATCTCTGTTCTTCCATTTTAATTATTTTGATTGGTAGTATGTTCTCTTTAGTACTCTTGCTCTATGTTGTTAAATTCATTGTGATGCTCCATATTTTATTTTTCATCCTGCCCCCTACAAACTTGACTTGAAGCCACGCCTATAGAAAACTAGAAATGCATCAAATGTGGTATGGTCTGTGTAGGCGCAAGTGGATAACCATAAATTGATTTTAAGTTTTAATTATTTCATATTTATTATATAAAAATTGGATAAATTTGAAATTAAGTGTTCACTTTTTAAAAGAAATCTCTTTGATAACTTTGAAATTTTAATTGTTATATGCATTTTGATTATTTGCTAATTACTTCTAGGGTTCTAGGCTTTTTACATTTAAGTTTATATTTTTATTGTTTATTTTTTGTCATATCCTTGCAGTACCTGACCCTGTAATTTTTAAATTGTAGTTTTCCGCACTCATCCCAGTGCAACTTAGCATTCTACAAGTTCAAAATGAGCTTACCATTTGACGTGCTTGTGGCGATGCTTTAGCTTGCATGGTAACTGGCCGCAAATAGCCAAAGTTTGGAAGCTTGGGTCCCTATAAAAAAGTGAACAGAGTGATGCGCAGGTTTTACTTTTACAGTCTAAAAAATGAACCCAATAAACAAGAAAATCTAAGAACTGATGGAAACAAGGAAAATGTGTGCTGGATGCTACTCCTACAATAAAATCTATGTAAAGCAAATAACAAGATCGAAAAGAGGGATATCAGTACAAATATTTTTTTGAGAAGAAAGTTTTACATATCGAAAGAAGAAAAGAAAAAAAGGATCCAATGGAACAGCTAAGTTGACTCTCCAACTACTTACAGTAGTTGAACATAAGGGATTTGCACTTGATGTCCAAGGGAGACCGCTGGAGTTATTGTGTAAGCTTGATACGATGCTCCAACTACTAACTGTCAAGAACCGAGGATTGTTAGAAAGAGCTAACTAGCTATGTGGTTAAAAGCAAAGATGCTTCTAAAACTTAACCAAGCAAACAAGTTCTTTGGCATACATTTACTTCTCCAAGAATTACTGTCCTGCAGAGTACCTAAGCAAGAGAAATTCCACCACCAGTCAGTGTTCGATTTTTCTTAACGAGTAGATCAATATTGGTAGAATATTCTGTACTTTCAAGGAATAAACAATTGTAAGAGTTATACTTTTTTTCAGGAAGTAAACTGCATGATCAGTTGATCATTTTCACATGATAATCGAGTATTGCTTCTAAATTGTTGATCTGAATAATAACAATAATATGAAACCCCTTTATTTGATTCACATATAAAACATAATCAAATTAATCACCACCATATAATGGCATACTATATTTGTACATACATTTTATCAACAATATTCAAAAGACAACAAAATACCAATCATTTAGAATTAGCAAAGACTTCTCTTTTGTGAGTTCATACTACAAAGATGGCAATCCACAACAACATTTCACAGGCTTCATTAAATGGTAAAGACAGAACAAGTCACAAATCTAGCTCACCAAAACAGTGTAAACCATGTTAACCAAGAATTATAATCATTACATTCCAGCTATGTTAGGGCCAGTCAAATAAAACTTATATAAGTAATGCAAAAAATAGTTACAGTTTCTACACCAGATTACCTAAGCACAGTGTGATCGCATAGGGCCCTGAATTTTTGGGGCCCCAGCCCCCAAGAGAATATAGATTTTAATGTTAACTATAGATATTTTAATGTTAACTATGGATATTTTCATGTATGCTACAGTACAGCGGAACACTGAGAAGTAGATGAAGACTAGTATTGGTTGAGCTAAAACAAAAATAAAATAAGGATTGATCATCGGATTGATAGCCTTTCCTTCATTCATTATTTTAGACTAAGCTTGCATTCTATAAGTAACATATAATGGCCTAAAATTTGAATTGTAATGAAATTCGGATCAAATACTCCAAGTTCTCTTAAGCATGTGTCAAAAGTGTAAACATACAATTATTTGGAGCACTAGAACTATAATGTTAATTTGCTAATTCTGAAAGCTTAATACACTAAAAAACTTTTTAAAATGCTATATGTTCAATATTTGGGTAAACAATCGTGGCTTTTTACTAATCTATCTTACTTCCTTTGAATTTGTATTTATTTGTGTTTTAGAGGTAAGAGTTGAATAAAATAATTTATCTGCACTGCAAAGATCTTTTATACGATTAAATTTAACTCATGCATTATATACTACTCCCTCCGTGCCATTAAATCATTCCCATTTTAACTTTGGGTCAAAATAAGGAAAGTGTAGTTTTGGTTGACTTTCCAATTTTGCCCTTGATGTGATGGGTCAAAGTAAGATGTGATAGTTTGGTTATTAGTGAAAAAATATGATGTGATAGGTAGGGTATGAAAAAGTAGGGGTAAAAGTGATTTTTTAATAGAAAGTGAAAGTGTTTTAGGGAATTAGAAAAAAATGAAAGAGGAAAGGTTTAATGGAACAGACGGAGTACTAGTTTTAGGCTCAAATTCAAATTTTTGCACATGACCTCCAAAAATTTCAGACAGGCCCCTGAAAATTTAGGACTTCCCCTGTCCCTTACTAAATTTGACAAGGTATAAGTTTCAGAAACAAGAGCTACATCTAAATACTCCATATTTAATTGTGACTATTTGGAAATGTGTATGCCTGAGCTTTTACTACTAAATTGGAATGATTCCCCATTAATCCATTATCTCAATATAGATACAATAATGAAAAACACAAGGATTTTCTGATGCATTCTTGAATGTGTGGATGGGCTTGCAGAATTTGATAGCTTAAGCTTTCCTTTCCCCAAACAACAAGCACGCATACACACAAAAACAGAGAACTTTTCCTTAAAAATCCCAAATTTGGAAGAGCTAGAGAATCACTCAAGAATCCAATGAAACATCTGCTTGAAAACTGAAAGTTACCATAAAAAATGTAAGGAGAGTTTCTTGAGCTGCTGCTGAATCTGGAAAAAAACACAAGACTCGACAAAATAAGTAAACCACATGCCTCTGAACGAGGCCAATCCTAATACATGTATATGATGCACAATAACGGGGATATGGAATGAGCGTACAGTGAAGATGAAACCAAACGAATTTCAGTTGTTCGATAAAGGCTTATTTGCGTGCTCCGAACGGAGAAGAATCCTCTGAGTGCCATTTCCTGAGATTGATTTTGTGGTAAGGACGGGAAGGAGGGAATGACTAGGGCCAATAGAGATTGATATGAATTTGATTAAAATTAAAACTAAATTAAAGATTTATTATAATAGTAATAATAATAATAGTAATAAGAATAGTAATAATAATAATAACTATAATAATACTAATAATAATAGAAATATTGATAATAAAAGCAATTATAATAATAATAGAAATAATAATAGTAATAATGATAATTATAATAATAATAATACTATTAATAATAGTAACAATAATAATATTATTAATATTAATAGTAATAATAACAATAGTAATAATAATTATAATCATAATATTAATAGTAATAGTAATACTAATACTTAAAATAGTGGTAATAATAATAATAATAATAATAATAATAATAATAATAATAATAATAATAATGTTAGACACCTTGCACACCTCTAGAGAGGAGTAAATGGAGGTGCTGCCCAAATGGCTGGTTTTTCGCGCGGAAGCATAGTGGAATTATTCTCCTAACACGGAGTAGATTGCTACAAATACAATAAAGTCGTATAGAATACGGCAAAATCTCTCAAAGACTTAAGCAATGAGGACAAACTCAAGCAAGAAAGGATCTAGCAATCAAAACGATTGCCTTGTTTAAAAGTATGTATTCTTCAAAATGTTCTTGGTGTTCTACTAAGGATAATAACGAGACAATGGAGTTTATAGAAGTTATGGAGTGGATAGGGATGAAAAACATTCAACAAAACTAGCCGTTTGAAAGTTGTAACTGCCAGACTGTTCGAATAAATCAAGAACTATTCGAAGAGTTCAGAACAAATCTGAAGCGAGAAAAAATAGTGACTTATTTAAATAAATCCAGATTTATTCGTATAAATTAGTATTTCTACCCAAACTCAGAAGTTCCAGACTTATTCGAATAAGCCAAAGGTTATTCGAATAGAAGAGCAACTTCTCCATACAAAAGATGGCCTAAAAGGTGTTTTGAAGCTAAGGTAGGATTATCAAGAAATAAACCTTAGAGATGCCATACTCTTTTACACAAATTCTAAGATCTAAAAGACTGCACAACTAAGGGAACGTCTTCGGTCTCGATCATTCTACTGATGCTCAAGTCTCTTCTTCACAGACGGATATGAATTTGTTGTAGCTTTGATTCTTAGCCTTGATGCACAATATGATGGTGATCTTTTGTCACCTTTTTGTCATTATCAAAACATAAAAGACAATGGGCAAAGGACATTGCAAATATATATATTCGTGATAGCGCATTGTCCAACATTTCCCTCCTTTTTGATAATGACAAACCCATTAGGAGATACACATCATACAACGCCAGTTCTCCCTCAAGTATTGCATCATATAACACACAAAGACATACAAGTCTATAATATCTTCTCCCTTAAGATATGCACAAATAAAATTCCCCCTAAACATATGCATATCTTTTGGCAATAAACAACCCTCTCCTTAACTATGTTACACACCTCTAGACGAACCTATTCTAGAGGAAATAGAGCTCAAAACCTACCCCCAATATTCCAACACCAAAGATTCTGAAGAGAAAACTATAGACAAGGAAATACTCTGCACAGAAGAACAGACTCTGTCTATAGAAACTTGCGCAAATGAAGCTTCACCGGAAAATTCAGACCAAACTTTCTTTAGCTCCCTGCTTGATGAGTGTGACTATGTTTGCTTGGTTGATAGTTATAGTAAAACAAGTTGGGACAAACTTCTTATGAGTGATACTGAGGACTCTTCCATGGGGGCAGGTACTGTCATAATCATTAAGCCGCAAAAGGATAGTCAGCCATTTGAAGATAATGAAGAAATCAAACTTATAATTAAGGCCAATGATGTGGATTTGCCGAGGAGACTCCCACTACCACCCATCTATCCAGAGTCTCCACCACATATCCTATTGCCACTAAGCCACAGGGATGAATCAAGGATCCTGGACCTTGATCGAGCAAGTATTCAAACAAGGTGGCATCACAAGAGAGTCAGAAGGGCCAAATTGTATGACTCTTGAATTGTGAAGTCACGGAAAAAGTGGCTTAGCGCCAAGCTACTGACGTAAAAGAAACTCTTAATAGGAGGCAACTCGTAATTCAAAAGAAAAAAGTATTAAAATAAGTTTTTGAGGTTATGCTTCCCGCACCATTTTTTGGGGCAAGAGTTATTTTGTTTATTTTCATTGTTTTTACAGATGGGAGGACCAAAAGGCATACCTTGTAGGGCATCAATCTTTTTTTTCTAGAAAAAGGAAGCAAAGAAAAAGTTCCACACTTGGAAAGCACGAAGTTCCTGCAGTCCCCGATGCTTTTTGACCTACTAGTCCTAAGTGAGATGAGCGACTAGAGGATATTGATGGCTTCATCTCTTATTCGGACTTGTTGGCACCCAATCTTTCTCAGTAAATTCTCTTTTTCTAACATTTATCTTGGCTATTTTAGACAGAATTTTGGTGATTTGAAAATGATTTTATTTAGAATTCATGGTTAAGACTCTTTTGAAACACATTTGGGAAGTTCTCTTTGCTTTACGCCCTTTTCCCTTAATCCTATTATGATTCTTATCAATTACTATTTCAATGTTCACAGTTGAATCCTCTAAGTGTGCGGACAACCTAGTAATTTCATGTGGACATTTCAACCATGAACTCTATATGCAAAACACATTTTAACCACGAGGGCACGGTTCCGTTTAAGTGTGATGAGGTGAGAGTTTATGGTTGAAATGATCTCTTAAGGAAATGTTTTTTATATTTATTTGTAGTAAAAGATTTTATAAAGTAGTCATCAATCTTATTTGTTTTATTAATTGATTTATAGTTATCACCCATAAAAATTGGAAATTTTTAACCTTTTGTCAAACTTCTATTTTTACTCTAATCTTTTGGAAATATGGTTTGAATTGGTTGATTTGGGATAAATTCACATTTCGATAGGAGAGTTTTAAGATCAATCAATTTTTAATTACTTTATTGAAAATCTTTTTGCACGTGCTCCTCTATCCTTAAGCTTTGGATATTTGTTGTTTGTTTAGAAGAGCTATTTTCAAGTGTAAGAGGTGACATTTCAAAGCATACTTTGGTGAGATCGATATTTTTGTTTAGGCCAAAAAGCAGTTGGTTCTATGTCAACTTATGAGGCTAGGTGAGTAAGCCAAAAAGTACGCTGTTCTATATCGCGTGATGAGGCCTTTTGAGTGTTAAAGTAAAAAAACATGTGGTTCTTTGTCATGTGATGTGACTTTCCAGAGTACATATCCAAAAAGCTTGTGGTTCTATGTCACAAGAAGAGAATAGAAATTTTTCTCGTGTCAACTTGATAAAGTTAAGCTCAAGGAAATAAAACCCTTACGTTTTGACAATTACTCTTGCAAGAACTCGTTTTTCAGTTTAGCCATTAAAAACTTTTTTTGTCTTAAACTACTCTTATTGATGTGAATATTCCAAGGAAAGTTTGAAAGGTTTTGGTTGTTTAGGTTGGTATTAAAATATGAGTTTGACAAAATACTTTTTCATTTCCAACAATATGGGTAAGAATCTAAATGTTCATTTATTTTTAATAGAAAGTTGATGACTATCTTATTTCCAACAATATGGGTAAGAATCTAAATGTTCCTTCATAAAATGTAGGTTAAACGTTTTCTCTGTGATCACTAATTTGTCTTTATACTTATAATTATTCAACTTGTTTCGTGATGGCAAGCAACTTTTAAGTATGAGAAATTTGATAAGTCTATTTCGTTCTAATCTTTTACTCCATATTCTATACATTATTGCACGTAAATAGTACATAATCATCTCATAAAATGTGTTTTCTACGTATAAAACTCTTGTTTTCATTCTAAGAGTCATAAAAAGGGATTCCACATTAAATCATATTAAATAATCTATTTAAAGTTCAAATACTCGAGAAAAAGAGAAACAATCATCAAAGGATAGAGATTTGTGTTGAACGAGCTTTTGGGAGGTCAAAATCAATGTTCAGGGACCAAAAGGGGAAAAACATGGCCAAAACAGAGCTGGAATTCACGAAGGATCAAGAAGGGAAATTAGGGCATCCAATTTGGACTCCCCAACATGCACGGCCCAACTTAGACGCCCTAAAATGCTTGGAGCCGATGCAACTTTGACATGTGGCGAATTCTTCTTGGACTCGAAGTTAGGGCATCAAAAGTTGGATGCCCGGAATGGGATGCTCCAATATATAAGCAGTGCGAATCTCCCCATTCCTTCAATCCAATTCAAGGCTATGGAGCCTCTTCTCCCATTCCTTTTGCACTTTAGCTTATAGTTTAGTAGTAGTAGTTAGTTTGGAAGTGTTTTTGGAGATTACAACTCCAGATCTGTTCTATTCCGTTTGTTCGAAGTCTGTAAGTTTTCAGTTTTAGTATAATGTTGTTTTAATTATTTTGCATAGAATGAGTTAGGGTCCGGACCTTGGTTCCACATTAGTTTGGGCATATACTTTGAATGTTTAGTTAATGTTGGAATGATTATCTTGAAATAAAATTGTTCTTACTATATTTAGTTAATTAATATTAAAAGATTTAATTAACTATATTTTGAAAAATATTATACGCCGTAAGGCTAACGTATTCAAGACAAACAAGGTAATTATGTATCCTAGGAATAAGTAAGTAATGGTAGGAATACTATCGTTTCAACTATTAATTAAATGTGATAAAGTTAACCTAGATGATGTCCTGACCCTAGGTCCTAATTTTTCGTATACTATGTGAAATTATTTATTCTTTATGCACTGCTGCCTTTTATTCGATTCGAGAATACTTTCATAAACTTGTCCTAACCTTCGCCTAGTTAGAGAAATTAGCTAATTTCCTTCGCCCACTCCTCAAGAGACACAACACTCAAAGAGAGAACTAACCCTTTGTTGGGAAGGTTTGCTACCCAAAAAACTATAATCATCAATGGTCCCTTACGATAGCCTGTTGAACCAATCACAGGTCGGGCCTTCTAACGTGGCGAGGAAACACCAACACTTTACCTCATCCGTGGCCGCTG